CCCGGGCGCCGCGGACAGAGGCTGGCGCGGTGCGCCTGTTCCTCCGACCGTGGAGACGCAGCCCTGGCCGCTGCTTTCCGAGCGAGCGGGCTTCGGGCGGCCAGCCCTGCGCAGCGTGCACCCCATCAACCCGGGCCCCACGCCTTGCCTGGAAGCGGCCCCGCTTTCTGGCGCCCGCCCGCGGAGACTTGAGTCCAGGAGGCCGACCGGCCGCGACCGTCCTCCCGCACGCGGCACCCCGCGGCCCCCGGGGGCCGCTGGGCAGCATCAGGCTCCGCGCTCGCCCTGCTCCTGCTCGTGCTGGGTGCTGCCAGATGAAGGCGAGGCCCTGGTGGGGCTGAATCCAGCCGGGGAGACCAAGGCTCCCGAATCCCGGCCTCAGGAGTGTCCTAGGAGTTGCTCTGACGCCGTCTGAGCCCTAAACTGGGCGCAGAGCGAGCTGCGGTTCTGGACACTCCAGAGGCAGCTTCTCCAGGCAGTGGGTAGAATTCTCGTGGAGGTTAGAAGCGAGTCCAGCCTAGCGAAGTTCAGTGGTGGGTGAGCGGTTTAGTATTCATAAAGTCATTTTAAAGCCTTTTTTGCAGCCCATATGATAAACCTGTGTTGAGCGCTATTTACTGCTTCTCTAGTCAGCCTAGCATGGCCTGCACAGCTGAGGAGGGCCTTGGCCAGGGACAGCGTCTGCACAGCCCTGCCCCCGCTGCGGCCATGCTGTGCTCCCCAGGGTGAGCTCAGGTCTGCCGAGCGCTGCAGACCAGCGCCGGGTCTTGGACCTCGTGCCACCGCTGGACAGGGCCCTTGCTCTGCGGGGGTCTTAGCCCCATTTCACAGATTGGGAGCGAGTAGCGGGAGGGAGAGCGGAAAACAGCGGAAGCTCACTGGGGCAGCTGCGGAGCTGGACGTGGGCACTGAACCAGGCAGCCGTCTGTCAGTGGTGACTCCTGGGGGAGTCCGGGGCCTGCGGACAGCTGGGTTCCCACCTTGGTGGGCCTAGACCCCAGATCAAGTTCAGGCCCCAACACCTCCCGGCCAGGCACTGCACCATCCACACACCCTCCCTCCGCCCGGGCCCTTGGTTGTAAATGAGCAGTGGAAGTGGAATACGGGGAAGATGCTGGTGTGACCCCGTTGGACCTGGTTGGCACCTCCAGTGCTGGTGGACAGCCATGTCCAGAGAGCTGCACCAGTAGGTGGCCCTCAGCGAGTCAGGGCAGCTCCACATCTGCGTCAGTCACCAGCAAGGAGGAGAAGCTGTCCCAGGGGCGGCCAGCTGCTGAGCACGCCCTGCACACCACCTCCGGGCTGAACACCAGGGCGTGGCCCAGGGGATGCCAGGCAGTGGTCTGAGCGACCCGGGGACTCGGGAGCCTTCTCACACTTCCCGCATCACACGCAAATGTGGACGCGCCCCGTGCGCCTGTGTCTGTAATAAACCACCCAAAGTTAACGTGCTTCCAGCTGTCCTTGCTGCTGGGCCTGTGGGCCAGCAGCCTGTGCAGGGTCCAGCTGGTCTGCAGTGTCAGCTGCCCTCACTGATGCAGGCCAGGGGCAGGGACCATGAGAAGACAGAGCCAGCAGTCACCCACTATCCGCTGCCCCGCCAAGGGTGTGTCTCACGGTGGCTGTGCCCTGCCTGCAGGAGTGCAGGTCCCCGGGCAGCCTCTCCAGCCTCTGGCCAAGCACAGGGCATGCGACGGGGACACAAAAGTGGACGGGAAAGTGCACACTCCGGAGGCTGTCTCCATGGCAGTAGTCTGCTGCTGGGAGGGGGAGTTGCTTTGTATGCCTGACTCAGCCTCCTGTGCCCTTGGCAGCAGTACAGGAAGAAGACGGTGGCCCTGGTGGAGACCCTCACACTGCTGCTGCTCAGCCTCTCTGGCTGCTCCTGAGGCCCCAGCCAGGAGCCTGTGTACATCCATCCACCACCCATGTCTCACACTGCCCGGGGAGACTGCCTTCACCCTCTCTGACCCGGAGTGTAGCCTGCTCCCCTCAGTATGCCGAGGTGGGGCAGGGCTGTTCCAGTCACCCAGTGCCAAGACGTGGGGTGCTGCCAGCTGTTGTGGAACCTGGTGCACCTGCACGCCCACTTGGGCACCTGTGCAGTCGGGTCCATCCAGGAGGGCGCCTACCACCTGAGGAGCTCCAAGGACGCTGCAGCCATTGCTGTCTTCACAGTCAAGGTCAGGCACCCAGAGGCCTGGAGAGGGCCCTGCCCCCGCTGATGTCCTGGCCACCATGGTGGGCATGGCTCTCCCGCTGCTGGCCTTCAGGGCGAAGAGCAGCCTCCAGGCCTGAGTGCCACCTGCAGATCCCACGTTTACATGCGGCTCCTGCAGGCTGTGGGACAAGTGCCACACTGTGTCCTGGGAAGCACAGGTGGTGCCACACCCTGCCCGCGAGAGCCCAGCCGGCTACTCACTGCCCAGGGACGTGGTGTGTGTGACTGCTGGGAACAGGGTCTGCACAGCACCAGAAACCCATTTAGGCCACTTTTCCGTCCAGCTGAATGAGGTGACACAACCACAAAACTACACCCTCAAGCGGGGTCACACTGGTGCAGCAAACAGGTGGTACAGGAGCTCCCACAGACCTGGGATGCCTTCCCTCTGCGAGCCTCGGGCGCATTCAGTGGGGTAGGCCCGAGCCTCTGGGAACTGGGAACGAGAAGGCCCGGGAGGGACAGCCTTGTGCACAGACCGGGCTTCCGGTTAAGGAAATGCACAGGGCTCGCTGGTGTAAGAGCCTCTGGAATGGCCACTCCCTCTGGACACGACGCGTCATGACCTGCTCACAGTGGCTGTCTCTGCATGGCCTGATTCTGTCTCCTGAATGGCAGCGCATGCTCCCAGCCTGGCGTGCTGATACTGTGGCTCACAGCTGATAGCCAGACTGACCGGCCAGGCTGACCGGCCAGCGTGCCGGGGCAGGGCGTGTGGCCGTCCCATCACTGAACACCAGCAGCAGCCTCACACTCGTCCTTCGGAATCCTGTTTCCCTGTTGGCCCTGTGTACAACCAAATTTGTGTCTAACGAAAAGTTTATTACATTTTGTTTAATTCTGCTCAATCTAATTGAGAAAAGATGGGCAGTTACTTTTAAACTGTAAAGTAGATTATTAATTTATCTCTTAGAGTTAAAGTCAGAAAGAAGCCAGGCATGGTACACACTGGTGAGCCCAGCACTCTGGCAGGCTGAGGCAGGAGGATCACAAGTTTGAACCCAACTTGGGCAACTTAATGACTTAGTGAGACTAAAGAAATGAATAAAGCGTTGGGGACATAGCTCAACGTGAAGACCTGGTTCAGTCCCCAGGACCACAGGATAAAAAAGGAACAAGAACGGGGTGCTAACAAGGGGTAAGCAGTGTGCCACGATGTGTTCATTGGTGACATATTTTTGTCCTGTATTTTTAAAAGCGTGACGCTAGGATGGCAGAACAAGATGGTGCTGACCCACCCGAACAACAGCTCACAACTGTGTACCCGCCCAGCTCAGAGGAGCCACCCTCTCTGCACGCCCCCCACGGGAGCTGTGTGACAGCGCAGACTGCCATGGCCCTGTGTGCTGTGCACACAAGCCTCTGCGCCCTCCTCCCTGATCGCACTGGGCAGCCAGAGCTGGCCGGCGACAGTCAGGCTTGAGTGCTGTGTGCTTTGGCCTGGTGGCCAGGTGGTCCCTTGCCCCAGCCACACACCCCTACCTGGAAGCCAGCCTGCAGCAAGGACAAGGCAGACAAGCAGAAGCCAGAGGTGGGCCTCAGGGCCTCCGGGCCCTCCTGGGCATGATAGGCCATGTGATTAAGGTATCCACCCTGGAGTTGTCCACCGTGAGGGGACAGTACCAGGGTGCCCTGTGGCAGCATGGCTAGCAGGCATTGGAGTTGGGCATTACCAGCCTGGCTGTGCTACACAGTAGCTGTGGGTCGAGATGGTTGTGTAGCCGGAGGGCGAATTCCCAAGGCAGAGGAAAGAGCACTGCCATCGCAGGAGTGCAGGGAGACACCAGGAGATAGGAGGCGCTGCACGGTTAAACCTCGGGAGCAGACGGGTCTGTGGCCCAACTGAGGAATGGATTTTACGTCGGTAAGACTGGGCTGGGGGTAGGACCATGAGGCGGGCCTCTGCGGCCCACCAAGCCTGTACATCCAGTACCTGGCACCTGACAGAGCATGCCTGTCCCTGCTAGGTAGGACCGACCTCTGGAGGTGCGAGTCAGATCTGCTGCCATCAGCGAGCACCAGGGAAGAGCGCACCGTCAGCACGACTGGCAGGAGCCTCGGTGGCTGAGGCAGGGGCTGAGGCTGGGTGCGGGGAGCTTGGGTCGGGGTGACTGGAGGAGCAGGAGGAAGTGGACTCCGTGAGACGGCGCTGTGCTGGGGAGGGCAGGGCGGTGCTCTCTCCGGTCTGCCTGCGCGTGTCAGGGGAGATGTGCCGGTGCCTGGAGATGAGCACAGAGCCTGTGGGATGCCCGGGCGGCTGTCACAGCAGCCGCACACAAAAGCTCGGTTCCAGAGAAGGAAGCCTTGCGGGGATGAACCTCTGAGACCCGCAAAGTGGAGGAGGACACCAGCCTGGTGGACAGAGAAAGGGAAGCCGGGCCAAGACCTGAAGAACTGCAGCCTTGGAACTGAACAAGCGTGGGGAGCGGGGTCAGGAGACGGGACCTGGAGGCAGAAGAGCAGCTCCGCAGGGGAAGCCCATCGGCAAGCAGAGGTCAGGGCGCATGCAGGTCCCCTGGCTTTGACACACGGAGGTCACAGTGACCTTGGGTAATTCAGAAGCACTGGGGACATTACTGACTGAGAGGGAGCCCCTCCCATCTCCTGTACTAAATTTCATGTTTTTTCTTTTTTATCTTTTGCAGGACTGGATAGGACCCATGGCCTCATGCATGTGAGATAAACACTCTACCCCTGAGCCACACTCCCAGTCCCCCTAACCCTTTGTGAGACCTTGAGACAGGGTCTCACAAATTTGCCTAGGTCAGCCTCACACTGGTCCTCCTGCCTCAGCCTCCCAGGAAGCTGGGATTATAGGTGTGCACCACCACCTATGGCTTATTTACTTTATTTTAATTTTGTGGTCTGGGAATTGAATCTGGGGTTCTATGCATGCTAGGCAAGAGCTCTACCGCAGAGCCACACCCCCCAGCCCCATATACTTCAGATGCTAAGAAGAATGACATGAGGGCCAAGGCATGTAATCCTAAATGAATTATTACAGAACCTGCCCAGCACACTTCGGCAAACCATAATATAAAGTAACAGCAGGAACATTATGCCCAAGTTTGATTTCCCCAAGAATATCACTTTGAGTTAATGTTTTAAATTATATTGGTTAAATCACCTCATCAAAAGATGAAGAACAGGGGCTGGGGATTTAGCTCAGCTGCAGAGTGCCTGCCTGGCAAGCG